GGCCGTGCAAGGGCAGGGCCTGGGGGAAGAGCTGCTGCCACACAGCCCCGCCGAGGGCTGAGCTCGGCTGAGCCAGGCACTGCAATCACCTCCTGTGCCGGTGCCCGTGCCTGGCATCGCCTTCCCTCCTGCAGCAGAGGTTGGCACTGAGCCACTGCTTCCTCCGGGATGTGCTTCCTTCTGCAGAGATGTTTGGTCCATTACTTGAAAAAGGAAGGGAGACAGCTGGATCAGATGGAACCATCCACCATTCAGGGAGGTGGCATTTTCAGGAGGTAATGCTTTTCAAAGTCATGGTTAAGGATCAGAAAAACATCTGGATTTTGTGACTGGGCCTGGGCCCTCCCTCCTCCAAACAGCTGACAGGCCTGAGCAGAAGTCATGAGGGGATGGCCCAGGGCGAGGGCACACCCGTGCATAGTTCTGTCCTGGCACAGTGATGCAGCGATGCCCCCCTGGCCGAGCTTTGGGCTCTGAGCTGGCAGCTCTTGCAGGAGGAAAGGCCTTGACCTACCCTCAGCATCTCCCAGAGGCTCAACCCTGAACATTGGTTGGGAAGCCAGATCACTTTTGCTAGCAGGGTTATCTGCAAAGAAAGGCAGGACAGAACAGCTCCTGTGACACTGTAGGAGATCCTCAGGCTGCACCCAAGGCTCAGCCGCAGGACACAGCACTGGGCCTGTTCCCTTCCCTCTCTGCTCTTCTCTGTGGCTGCACAGAGCACACGGAAGGACACTGGCATTGCACACAGGAGGAAGATGGACAGCTAAATGCTCCTTCCTCCCACTGACAGTGATCCTGTGGGATCACTCAGGGCTTGAGAAGGAACAGGGCAGGGTTTCCCGATCTCAACAGCCTTTAGATTCTTAAGGAAATGGCATAAGACTGAGGTCTGGCAAAATGGACATTGATTGTTCTGTCAGGAAAAGGGACATTGAGGACTTGCCTCCAAAATTCTCCAAGGGTTTCAAACTGTCTTGTGCTAGGCCTCCCAGATAAGCCATGTCGCGATCCCAATCTAGACAGAAGCACAGATCAGAAGCATTTCCATGGTGTTCTGGGTTCTCCCTCTGCCTTTGGGAACTGGGACTGGCTCCTGGTCACTTTCCACCCTCTTTGCAGGCCCTGTGCAACATCCCTGGAGGGGTTGCTGGACCTGCCCGGGGCCATGATGGTTCTCTGACTCCCACAGAGGAAACCCTCACTAATTTCCTGAGGAAATGTGCAGCAGGCAGTGCCACAACTATTCCTTCTTGCCTATCTCTGCTCAGTCAGCTCAGACAGGCCAAGGAACAGTCAGACCCTCTCACACAGGTCAGGCCCTTGGGGAAGAGCTTCTGCCACACAGCCTCACCAAGGGCTGAAGCCATCAGAGCAGTTACCTCCTGTGCCTGTGCCCATGCCTGGAATTGACTCCCTTCCTTCAGGAAATGCTGCCCTCCATAGAGCATCTCTGTCCATCCCTTGAGAAAGGAAGAGGCACGGCTGAATCAGATGAAAGCATTACACATCAGGGAGGTGGAAACTTCAGGAGGCAATACTTGTCAAAGACATGGATAAGGATCAGGATAAGGCCCAGGCTTTTGGCGCTGTGACAGGGCTCTCTCTTTTCCAAACCACCACCACTCCTGATCTTCTGGGCACTGGGAAATTGCAGGGGATCTCAGGGCGTGCATGGCCCGTGGTGCAGTTTGGGCTCCCTGTCAGCTGGTGCCAAATGCCTTCCTGCAAAGGCTGGGGAGAAGCTGCAGCCAGGCCAGGCTGGGAAACAGCCCTGCAGCCGTGAGAGCAGCACGGGGCAGCGAGGCTGCCATGGATCCCTTCCTGCTGTG